GACATTGTTTTAGTCTTAATTGAAGCCTAATTTATTTTTAAAAATAATGAATTTAAACTGTTACACGCGAGCATTGAGTATTAAAGATGGAACAATACAAATGCAGAATTGTTTTTTATGCATAAATGCATGGAATTTTAATATTCATTTTGTCGACAATAAAAACAAAGTTACGCTATTTTTAGATTAAAATAAAATATTATTTAAAAGCATTAATGAAACGCAAACATATAAATTAAATTTTAAAAAAATATCAAAGCATAATTTGTATAATTTAACCATTCTCGCTTAAATTTTACTAGAAGCTATTGTAATTTTTGTACACAGCTGCAAAATCGGCTTTCCGAAAAAGACAGTATCACAGCTCATCCACAAGATCACTCCTAAATATTGCGGGGTCTTTTCATCTGGCATCGCCCCGACAACCGGTGACCGTGAGAAAACATCACTCCACTTACGAGGCTGAAATCCGAATAAAATTCGAAGTCTTTGAGAGGCGACCGCCTCACCCCAAGAAAGTGAAAAGGGAGTCCGTTTTTGAAAACACCAAGAAGATCGGTTGTGTTTGCCTCCTCCCGCACAACGAACATATTCTGTACAATTGAAGTAATTAATAGCATGAATAACTTCTATTTAAAATGTAAATATATTGTATTTAATAGCTGCAACATAAATAAATCAATTATCTAATTTACACTCCGCTACCATTAATTTTCCCAAACGTAAAACTACGAAAATTGACATTGACTTCCGTGTAGTTTATTTACTCTAAGTCATTTGAATACTTCGCAGTTAAGTAATTATTTGTTTTGTTTAAATTATTTAATTTATTATTATTTTTACTTTATTTAAAAATGAATTTATGTATTTACTTTCTCTTTTGCGTTTTCCTTTCTGACTCAGATATCATTTTAAACAATCCCACCAGTTAAACAAGATTTGAATCGATCGCTATAATTAATACTTCTCTCGAAGAAAGAGATTGTGAACAAGTACAGAATTCATTCATAAAACATAGAAAAGTTACGGAAGACCTTCAAAGAAGGTTCCGATAAAAAAAAAACCGCAAAAATAAATTATAAACAGTTAATGTCTAAGAAAAGATGTTCAAGGACTTCGAATTTGAAGGTCTAATTTGAACTGAGAACTTTTTGGAACATTCCTTCACGTAAGAAAATTAAAAAAGAATTAGTACACACACAAAATAATATATTAATTATTTTGAAAAAGGAATGCTTTTTATTGCAACTAGATATATTATCTTACATTATTACCTTGTAAAATAATAAAATCGTACAGATGTACTCGACGAGAGTGTGTTAAACAAATTTAACAGTGAAAAGTTCGTAGAGGTGGCACAATTACGAGATCAGGTTTTATTTCAAAAATGATTTTTTAAAAAACAAAATCATGATTGGATGAGTGAGAATATGAACGTCGCACTATTCAGCTACACGAGGGCTTTCGGCGACGGACCTCGAAATTTTGAACAATGGCCAAGTGACGAGAACGTCAGTTGACTTGCACTACTCCCTTTTTAAACTTCCACACCACACCAACGGGAGGATGCTTGAGCCTCAACATATTTAACGCGCATCGACCCCCTCTGCAAGGTGGGTGTTCAGCGGTACGAGGCTCGAACTCGTGACACGCCGGACACGAATCCGTTACCTTGACCACTATGCTACCACGGCCACTATTCTTCACTAAAAAAATACTTATAATACACAAAAAAGTTTCCAGAAAATAATAACCCGATCTCATCTCGAATTGATTGAAAACACTTTTTTTAAACTGTCACCAGCAGTCGCATATTTACAACCAGTTATTTGCATTTGAAGTGTTGCCAACTGCTGATGACTAAAAATGCGCAGATTGAATTTAAATCATATTAGATTCGAATCAATCTGAAATTATGGCAGGAAATAGGAAAAATATTTCCGGATCCGAAAACAAATTTTTACAAAATATTTAACAATATCTGTAACCCGATTTGATAGTATAAGGAATTCCTTTTTATTCTTTATTATTTTTTGATAAAAACTTCAGTAACAATCTATACATCAGGCGTCATTTTTATTTAACAGCTTACATAAACATTGTGGGCAAAAACATAAAATAATTAAATTACCTTGCATACAAAAAAAATGATAAGCAATGTTTTTTGTAATTAATAAAAGAATACAAATAAAAATACTTCAAAATATTTGGCATTGTGTTCAGGAGTGATACAGTTTGATACATATATAATAGCACACAGGGCCATTTTTAAAGTTTAATTCGAAATTACGAGTGTATAATAACATAGATAACAGACGATAAGATATTGCATAAGTAAAAGCCCAAGAAAATGTAATTTCTCCCAGAAAACATTACAACATATTTGACAAGAACTCTGACGCTCAGGAGAATAAATAACTATTTATACAGAGATATCAATTACATAACCACATCATTTTTTTTTTACGTTTACGCATCTATTAACCTTAGAATAAATATCAGTCTCTAATGCGGAAAAACTTCAGCAATAAGTACGCGGTTTCTAACGGATCATTATTGCAGAATCTACAATGTTGTATGTTAATAATACAATATAATTGCGAATTATACATCCATCTCTCTCATGATTTGCACAATGAATCCGTTCATAATTGTTATTCGAACAAACTTCACACACACACACAATTCTGCGTTTAATATCCTAAAATATTTGTTTCTCTCATTACGTCTTTTCTACAACGACCGTCAGTGGCGTCCACAGACCTCTCTTATCGCCTCTCTTATATACGGATTTAAATTTTGGGTTCGTTTTAGAAGAAAAAACGCACTCAAGGCTCATACATGGATCGGCTTATGTATATTCGGAAATAAACGGTATTGTTACGTAGATCGGGGTTCGAGAATTTTATGCAAAATCAGTCGTAAACAACAAGTTCTTTAAGAGCGATGAAAATTTATTGTCGAAAATCAATCCTTCAAAACACAGGATTCAACAGCAAAAATCGCAGAATAAATATCAGAAAGATTTCACACCTTCAACAGCACTTAGACACAATTACCAGTATCTAAAATACACGTACGTAAAAGATTATCCACAAGCACCGCTCGTAATATTGAACAGTCGAGCTAATCACTAGTTCTCACGGTCAAGGAAAGTTTACTAATCGCTAGTCAAAACCAGACTCACTGTTACAGCGAGTATCGCTCCATTTATAACTGCGGCCGAAACTTCGAGAAAGATGCGTTTGCGTCATAGATCGTGAAATTAGTGGAGAAATCCACTAATTTCTAGAAGAATCCAGAGAGTCCCGAACTCACCAAAATAGTCGCCAACTTGGTCGCCAAGTTCCCATTGAATCGTCATTATAACGTAAGAGACGGTGTTGCTTGTGAATATTACAATTTTATCATGAAATAAAAATAGCATAGAGTAATATAAATGCATTACACATCCAAATACAGATTATTTACGCTATTGTATACAAAATTCGTAGCAGTATTAAATGGCATATTGGTAACACATTCGGTAACTCTGAACCACGATAATGTGATGAAAATGACAATCGAGTTTAGGACTCCAATCCCAGTATTTCTATTCATCGTATGAGGGCTTTCATGTTCATTTTCATGAGTCACACTCCAGTGGCGTAACCAAAGCCGGTTTGTCCATTTGGCGCTTGGGGTGGGCGCCCAGGGGCCAGGGGGCCGGAAGCGCTCGGATACGCTGAACTTACCTGGTTTTATGGTTATAAATTTCAATCCGCCAGTGACAAATCTTTTGCGCCCAGGGCCCGAATTGAGATTAAATCGGCACTGGGCGTAACGGAGAATATTAGGGCCACCCTGCAAAGCCAGATCTTGGGCCCCAATCTGGATCTTATAAAAACTTACTAGACTGACTTAGCGTCAAGCAGGCTATGGGCCCCCTAGAATCCTGGCCCCCTCCGCGATGCGGGGGTTAATGTTACGCCGCTGTTACACTCAGCATACATACAACAGATAAATCCTCTTGTAGCATTTATAAAGCAACTTTACATAGACATTAGTACTGCAAATAGAAATGTTCTGTTTTTGCCTTCAATATTATGCTACGATTCACGCGCACAAACTGACAGATCTGACACCTTTTTTAAACAATTTCAATGCACTTAAAAATGGCTGGAATAAAAAAAAATTCAAGCAATAATAAAAAATAATTTTAAAAATAAGAAAGTTGAAGTTTTTTTTTTTTTTTTTTTTTGAAGGGAAGGGGGAGAGAAGGGCGAAATTCAGAAATTCCCAACTTTTTTAACTAAAAATAATTTTAAACTTATGGAGTAGGAGTTTTTTTTTAAGAAAAAAAAAGGGGGGGGGATATTTTTCTTCTACTTGTAGGATGAGAGAGATGAAGAATAGGGAAGGGGGATTCTTGACATTTCTTTTTATAGTTATAATTGCACACACACGCAAACACTATCTTGTGAACATATATCTAATGCTCTTTTTTGAATGAGAATCAAATAAATCATACTTTGAGAAGATATTTCTTTAAGTGTGAGCTAAAATTAAAGGAAGATGAATTACAGATCACGAAAAAAAAATTCAAGGACACGATACTTTTGTATAGGAGTAATTAGGGAGGATTGATATGCTTTATTTTCAAAATTAAAGCATTTTAAGCATTAAAATATAATAAATGTTTAACAAAAAGCTTCGAATGGGGAAAATATTATAATGCCTATATGTAAATGAGCCTTAGATGTATAAAATAAGTTCATACATTTATGAGATAATTTATTCTCCAAATTTCAACAGTTTGTTTTGTAAATTCTTCGGATGCAATTCCAAACTTTTTTTCTTCAAATTTTCCATTCATTCCATTTTCCAATATGTTTTACTTTTCTTTCATTATTTTCAGATTATTTTTTAAATAACAATTCATTAATTAAATTAAAAATTGGATAAATAATGACAAAAATAATAGTTGAACAGTATATATAGAAAGGGAAGGTGTTCGGAGTGTTCCTGTAGAGCAAAGTGGACAGCTCACTGGATTTCTAATCCAAAGGTCGTAGGTTCGAATCCCATCTGAAATAGCCTTTTATCGGAGAATGTGATTATTTTTTTTACTATACTATTTTATTAGAATAATTAAATTTAATGAATGAATAAAAGTAACAAATAAAAAAATAGTCCAACACCATATATAGAAAGGAAAATGGAAAATAGAGCTTTCAATTTTGTCACTTAATATTGTGATTCTGTCATGTTTTTCATATTTATATTAATTATAACTATTTGATAAAAAGTAACTAAAATATAAAATGTTTCTTTGTTGACCGAAGCAGGAATAGACTTAAATTTTTTTTATATTACTTGATATACTTACTTTCTTTACAAGTAACAGAATTTTGGAATAATCTCTTTATCTTCCCAGTTAAAAAAAACCACTTTCATTTATAGCGCACCTAGCTTACCAACAAAAAGTCAAAATCAATCGCATAGAAAAAAAAATTTTAAATCTGAATGGTGAAAAAAAATAAAAAAAATTGTTTTCTTCAAAAGCAAGTAAACAAACCTGCGTCGTCGTCAAGGAAACCTCGAACCGAAAAATCGAATCGAATTGTAGGAGGTTCGGGAGAGTGGGTGGGTGGGGAGAAGTCTCCAAAATTCTTTTTATTTTTCCTTTTATTTGGGTGTAGAAGGGGGAAGGACAGAGAATACGAAAACTCAGCAAACGATATTGCTTCCGAAAGCGTCGCCTCTATCGACTTATTCGAAGTCGTTGCTCGGGGAAACCAACATGTACACGTGTACTACTCTGCCTCCCCCTTTCATAACCCCCTTCTCGGGTTTTGGTTAATCGCCAACTTTTATTCAATGAAAGGGTCTCATAGCTATCCTAAGGAATAATATCGAACCCACGCAACTGCTTTTAAGTAGGGGAAAAAATGACTTGATATATCTCTTTACTAAGAAAAAGGAATGTGTTACGTCGAATTCGCGTTATCTAACTTCGTGCTGAATGTTGCACTATTTTAGCCTTTTTTAAAAAAATTTAATACAACTAATAAAATTATTTATCAGTATTAAAAGATTTGGCACTCATGTTTGAAATTGAAGGTGTGTTCTCAGAAGTTTGATTTTTAAGACTAAGAAGGTGTTAAGGTCCATATTTTTCTCATTGAATGTTAAGCAAAGCATGCTTTAATAGTCACGAAATACAAAATGCGCTTGTTGCAATTAAATATATAATGTAGCAATTTGACAAAACTATATTTGAAAGATTTAAACAAATTGAAGGTTTTCTTTATTTTGTTCATGAATATCTATAAAATGTTTTTAAACAATACAAAAACAATCGACACTGTACATTAAATAAAATAATTAAATATGCAAGACTTGTAGGAAAAAAATTCAGTTTTTAAATTGAAACATTCTAAGTACGTATTTGAAATAATATACTTCCATACAAAAATAAATTCACTCCATTAAACTTTTTTTAAAGCTAAACAATTGTAGAAAGGTAAATCAAATAAAACTCAAGTATTCATGTCCACATACAAAAAAAGCTTTTTATATTTTACAATGCATTAATGTCTATAGCTTGCATAGTATCTCTCTAAGACAAATTCTTTAAAAACCTTGTGTACAAATTGCTCTATTTTTTTGTTGCTTTATTTTGTATGATTTAATTTTGCTCAATCAATTCTGTTTCTTCCGACAAAACCAAGTTTATTTCCTGAAGTGTTCATCTAAATCAGGCATGTCAAACTCATATGATATTACGGGTTAAAAGATCTATAATATATCAAGTTATGGGCCGCATGTGAATAAAATATAACTTTAGAACGATTATATTATATATTTATCAGCCTCAATGTCAAGCTCAATGTATTGTATGTTGTTGTTGTTGATACTTAGGCTACCTGATCGACAGTAATATCAGATGAAGGCCACGAAATTCATCGTGGCAAAGGGCTAGTTGGGCACCATACAGGTGACAATACTATTTGGCTGGGTTCCACCCCAATTTTGAGGGAAAACACCCTGGGGATGGTCAGAGGTCTCCCACCTCTCTTTCCCTTCCACCAACCTCACGAGAGTCCTTTGCCGCGATGAATTTCTTGGACCGCGATCTGACATCGTCAGACAGGTGGCAGAGACAACAACAAGAAAAATGCGCCGAAGCGTAATTCTTACGCTAAAAATTAAATATTTCTATGTATAAAGGAGGAGAGGGTTGCCCCCCCCCCTTGTGTACTTTACTGTGTCTCATATTCCCAGTGCGCTTTGCTTTTCACCAAAATACTTTCACACCATGCATATTCATGACTTCAATTACAGATATTTAAAGGAATAAAATATTTATAGAATCTCCTTACGAGAACAATTTTAGCAGCGACCTTTTGTACTAAAATATCCATAGCCAATAAATAATGGGTTGATTTGGACATCATTTCATCGACTAATTGTTGAGAACGCACATCACCTTTTTTCTTTTTCAATTCCCATTCTAGAATAAACTCTGTCTCTGGAACAAGAATAAAACTGTCCCGAAAACTTAACAGAAAATTGCACCAATTCTGATAGATTATATACTCTAGGGGGGGGGGGGGTCTTCAACCTTTAACGCTCGAGGGCCATATCAATAAATCTACAATGATCCGCGGGCCACATCAATAAATTTACAAGAATCCGCTGGCCCCACGACTGTCGAAAAGAAAATAATGTAGTTAATAAATTTAAATAAGAAAAGGAGGTTTGTTTTACAAGACTATAACTGATTCTAATGGAAGAGATGGTGCTACAGATTTGTTATATTGGTTTCAAAAACGTTCAATGGAAGTCGAATTAAAATACTTTGTGCGTGTTAAAGATAAAAGTTCACTTTTTCTTCTGAAAACTTCTGAGATTTTATGCAGTCAGATGCTTCACATTTAAAATTAACTAAAATACAATGAAATTTTTGAAAAATTCGTCATTTTTAGAAAATTTTATCTCAAATGTATATTAATAAAATGTTTTAGATATCAAGAATAACAGAAAAAAAAAGATCATTGTGCTTACGAAAAAAAGCAGACAAGGTAATTTTTTCTGAAATTGACTCGAGATTCAAAAGAAGGGTCACTAAAATGCCTTCAGAAGGCCATTCGTGGCCAGGGCCGTGGGTTGAAGAGCCTTAATATACACAATAGTAATAATCATGACTGTGTGTGTGTGTGTGTGTGTGATGAAAACTTAAAATTAAGTAGATTTTAAAATTATATAGTTGTTTTAAAGTGACACACAAATAAAAAAGTTGATCTAAAATTTGTATGTCTTACAACGTTACCAATTAATCATTTGATTTCTTTTTATATATTGTACAATATTACAATAATTGCAGTGGCGTAACGTAAGCCCCGAATCACGGAAGGGCCCATGGCTCTACGAGGCGCAAAGCCTATGTTATGCTGTGGTTTTGAAATCCTTTGTGAGATCCAGCTTTGGAGCCCAAAATCTGACTTTGCAGGGGGTCCTAACATTCTCCATTACGCCACTGAATAATTGTACAAAAAGAATTTTGTTTCTATATTTTTTTGCTGTAATATAAATAAAAAAATTTGTGGCTCGTTATCTTTAAACGATTTCCAAAAAAATCATTGTAACCTCTACCTTAAAATCCTTTTACATCTGTAAGAAATTTTTCGTAGCTACATTTCAATAAATAAAAATTTAAGTGTCGGATTATGAACTGAAGTCACTCCAAAGAGCTTCAGTATTTGTTATTTATGCAAATATATTTTAACCATTTTCATGGAAAATATCTGGAAAAGTGTTTTTTTATTTATTCGCTGTATATTTGAAAATCGAATCTTGAAATTAAGTTAGGTGAGAAAAAACCCTTCTTGTATCAGTTGAAATTCCATTTTTTAATAATCTAGTCAATGCTATTCCTTCCTGATTCATATATTTAACAACTGTTCTCTTGAATTCTATAGATTAGTTTATGTCTCGATTACAAACGTAGAGTCGGTTGATTTTGATTTTGGTTAGAATCTATATTCCACACACACTATACAATATAAAAAAATGTAAACATAAAAAATTTGAGTATTTCTTTATTTTTTTCTTTATATAATCAATAAATTTCACTACTCTCTTCTCCGTATAATTCTTTAATCTAAATCTAGAACAGTTGCTCGAAATGATAGTGCAGTAAACAATTCGGTAACTTAATATTTTTCGAGGCATTAGCTCCTTTTAAACATTGACGCTATGTACTTATCTCAAGTGGCTTTTATTACTCAATAATCGGACGTTGACTTCATTCGTATATTTTAGCTCATATATTTGTTTACGTTATCGGACTTGAACATTGAGAAATCACTGACATTACTCTGTTTATTATGATTCGGTCTGATTGTTTGATGTAATTGACGGTTTCCTTTTCCACATTTATTTTTTTTCTTAGAGGTTTCTTTATTTCAATATTTAAAACAAACATTTAAAAAATCCAGACGAAATTTGAATTAAAAGAACCTGTGCACATGAGGTAAAAATGATACTTCAATTCAAATCTACAATTCAATTCAAACAATTTAAAATCTATCGGGTTACACAAATACTGTACAACCTGTATTTCAATATTTCAAATGTTATATAATTTTTAATAAAACCTAAATATTTTAAGTAAAGGTTAAACATTTATAGATGTGAAATTTGTATCTTACAAACACACAAAGTATTATTTATAAAAATAAAACAAAATAAAGGAGGGAAAATGAATGGATTAAAAAATTCCTAATCTAAAATTGAAACATAAGATTAAATTTCATAGAAAGTTCTGCCAAAAATCAATAAAAAATACACGAAATTAGAACAAATTATACTTTCTTTCGAATATATTTCAAACTATGAAAATATTAATGAAATGTGCTACAATATGGAACCTCTCCATTTTTTAAATACATTACCTATCCAAACGTTTGTTGACTTCTTTTAAATAAAGAAGAAAAATTTCAAAAAATTAAGTTTGAGAAAAAAGTGTAATCATTTTTCAATCATAAATCAATTTTTATAAAAAATGTTCATAATTTAAATCAATCTCTTA